ATATTTGATAACATAAAATGTTTATATAAGGGGAATTTTACAATTATGAGGCCATAATGCAAAAGGCAAAATTATATAGGATCCAATATATAATATTCTCTAGTAAGCTTAGGAAGCAAGATATTCTCAGATTTCACCCACAAAAAAGTAAAATTTACGGCCGTGGCACAATTTTAGTTTTGAGCCTCGACTCATATAATCTCGCAATCCGCGGAGATTTTTCACCTCCAAAAGAGTTCAATCGGTGTAGAAAAATCTCTTAAGCCCTGCAAAATTTCGTCTCGGAAGGTCGGCAATGGATATCGATGCCAAAGAGTATCAGTTGAGATGCCAACTTCGAGGCCACGAACAAGATGTACATTCTCTCACTGTTTTCATTTTTTTACTGGTTTATCTCGAACCTTTTATGCGAAGCTTGCGATCGATCCAAAGCTTGTTGATGATAGCATTCTCGATTTATTATCCAGTTTTGCTCCTTTCAGTAAATTTTTAGCTGTTTGATCAGTTGTGCTGAGCACCCAGGAAAATCCCTTAATCTTCTTTTGCGGCAATTTTGGATTTTGAAACTTTGAGTTTTAACTAACCCTCATGGTTGGCTCAATCTATCACTATATGGTCAAGTTATTTTAGTTAGAAGTGTAAGGTCACATAATGTTGCTTGTCAGCTTTAATTTGGAGGATTCATCTTATGGGTTGGATTGATTTTGCTGAAATCTTGATTTCCTGGCTATATAATGTTGCTTGTCTGCTTTAATTTGGTGCATTAACTTTTTGGGTTTGATTGATTTTGCTGACTTCTTGATTGTCTGGCTACATCATGTTGCTTGTGAGCTTTTATTCGGAGCATTAACCTTTTGGGTGTGATTGATTTTGCTGAAATTTTTTATTGTCTTTTTTCAGGCTCGTGGCATTTGCATATGTGGCAATGCTGGTATAGCTACCTCTTCTAGAGACAAAACGGTTAGGTTTTGGACGCTGGATGAGCCACAGAAGCGTGACTACTCATTGTCTAAAATACTGTTGGGACACACTAGTTTTGTGGGGCCGTTGGCTTGGGTCCCACCGAACGAGGAGTTTCCCGGGGGTGGAATTGTGTCAGGAGGGATTGACACTCTAGTTATTGTGTGGAATTTGGCCACGGGCGAGAAGGTGAAGACTTTAAAGGGTCATAAGTTGCAAGTTACTGGCGTTGTGTTGGATGGTTCGGATATCGTTTCAGTATCTGTTGACTGGTATGTATGCTTTTCTGCTGATGGTTTATAGGATTTCTGTACATTATTTGAATTTTGAGTTTGGAAATGATTTTGATGTGTCTTTCACCTAAAGTTTTTATTTATATGGAAAATTCTGAACTGGAGTTAGTGGTTCATCAGTATCCTACATATGGTGATTCAGGATATGGATCTAGTTTACTTAGCTGAATAGTTGTAAAATTTACATTGTATGAAATTCCCCACTCTAGAATTGTGCTTGCTTTAGAAAACCGATATATATCTGAAGTGGGGCTATTTGTTTTGCTGGTGTTCTTGTATATAAATTTAAAATGTGGGATGTTGGTTAATTGTCGGTCCTCTGATAGTGGGGCTATTTTTTTGTCAGATATATATTGTTGATGAATTTATGTGAAACACTGTGTTTTTAGATTGACCGCATTTAGGTCACGAGTCTCTGTTAAAATTCTTATTCTTCTGTTATGCGTTTGCTTGACTTCAGCACATTGAGACGCTGGAGGGAAGGTCAGTTAGTTGATGCCTGGGAAGGTCATAAAGCAGCAATTCAAGCAATTGTGAAGTTGCCTACTGGGGAGCTTGTGACAGGTAGTATCTTTAGTCTCTATCCTTTGGTTCACCAGTTGCCTTACATTTTAGCATCCGTTCTCTTTATGTATCCTACCACATATTGGACCAGGGTCAGTTTATGCAACTTTTGCAAAGTCCAACTGGAAGCCCTAAAAAAAATAAATAAATAAATAAATCAAAATTACAGAAGCTTTTTTCTATTTTCGAACACGAAGAGAAATTGATGATCTAATTTTTTAATCTTTTTCTCGAGTTTATTTTTCCATTCCTTATTTTCAAACACGAAGAGAAATTGATGATCTAATTCTTTAATCTTTTTCTGGAGTTCATTTTTCCATTCCTTTTTCCGGAAAAAAAATATTTACGTCACATATAAGACATTTGGCTTGAATTTATGACCTTGTCGTAGCTTGAATTCTGAACTATGATTCTGATGGTTATCCAGGTTCGACGGACATGACTTTGAAGCTTTGGAAAGGGAAATCTTGCATGCATACTTTCCTTGGGCATACAGGTTATGCTTTACATTTTCTTTAATAATATTATTATTTATCTTCTGTGTTATTCATTCTCCTAAAATGTAGTGCAGATGCATGGAACCACCTTTTATTGGACATTAATCTATTTTGATGATCATTTTTAGATACATTTTCTTTTTCGATTGCTACGTGACAGTTTTCCCTCCCAGCTGTAGATAGATATTGATATTCTTATAGGGTTTCTTGAATCTGCAACATGATAAAGGCATAAGTATAAATTTTCCTTAATAATTGTGGCCTTAAGCATTCCAATAGTCCTGATTGGTTAATAATATTGGGATTCCTTTTATGGAATACTTGGACTAGTCAAGCAGTACCATCCTAAGACACTTCACCTGGCTGTGAGGCTATCAGGGCTGCATTTTTTTTTTTCAAACATTTGAAAGCGTGTCCATTGACAAGGAAGCCATATGAACGATTTAATACAATTATTTGTTTACGGCAAATATTTTCTCAGTCAACTATTTTATTCATTCTGCGTCTATGGTTTTGCAGACACCGTGCGTGGGATTGCTGCTGTGCCAGATCTAGGAATCCTTTCAGCATCACATGACGGGTAAGACTCGATTAGATTTTGAAGTAGGCGTGCTGACTGTATGAGTGGCCACACTGTTTTGTTAATTTGGACTTCATATACTTGAGTTCAATGGAAATTCATGCGATGGTAGACTCGACTTTACTCTCTTCTGATATAATGTAAATCCAGGCCTTCTCCCGGATGCTAATTGAAGAATTGCAAATAAGTTCAAAAGAATATATGAAAGGCTGACAATATTGATGGCATAAAAGTACATCAACTTAAAGGAACCCAGTTGGACCGTAAAATAGAATGACAGAATACAGTAGAAAAACAAAAATTGATACTTGAACTATATTCGTCAGCGTGATGTGGCTCCCTGTTCATTCCTACTCTTTGTTCATTCCTTTCATGGTTAGTGTAAATTAACATCTACAAGGTTCATTTCAGATTTGCCTATGTTTGTCTCATTTACACAATATGGTTGGCTATCATTGATCGGCCTAACAAACTGATGTGCTTAACAGTATTCTGAAGTTCTTACTTACTTTAAAGATGGATATTATTTTTTTTGTGTGTTTCTGTTTTTGTTTTTGTTTTTGTTTTTGCACTTATACCTTTGATCAATATAACTCAGGGTCGCCTTTTCTAAAGGCATATAATACTTGTCTCTTGCTTACTGTCTCTTGATTTGGTTTATTAATCCTATTATAGTTGTAAATGGCAGTTCTATCAGGCTGTGGGCAGTTAGTGGGGAACTTCTCATGGAAATGGTTGGTCACACGTCCATTGTCTATTCTGTTGATGCACATATATCTGGGCTTATAGTCAGTGGTAGTGAAGATTGTTCGGCAAAAATATGGAAAGGTAGATTTCTTGTGTCCAAGGAAACAACTGCTTTTTGAATTTGGCTGCTGGTTTGCTTACTTCTCCCACACACGTACACACAAAAGGAAAAAAAAAAAAATCAGGAGCAAATACAGTAGATTTGTTGATGTTAGTTTCTTCAATGCTTTGCCTGCAAAACTTACCTGAATTTGGTGTGAAAATCTTCCAAAAGTCAAACTTCTTATAGAACAACTAATTACTGGTTGATGAACAGATGTTATCCAGGAATATTTAACCGTAATCTTTTCTTCATTTCACTGATTTCTTAAATCAAGAGTACTTGAAAATAATTGCGAATAAGGTCAAGCTTATTTTTTGCCACAATATTCAAGAGAGTGCATAGATGTTGAGGTAGTGGCCAACAGCTTAGGCATCATTATTTGAGATTCTTTGTTGTCAGTATGCAATGGCATGTTCTATTGCAGATGGAGTTTGTATACAAAGCATAGAGCATCCTGGTTGTGTTTGGGACACCAAATTCTTGGAAAATGGCGACATTGTGACGGCTTGTTCTGATGGAGTTGTGCGAATTTGGACTTTAAATCATGAAAAGATAGCTGATGATGTAGAGCTCAATTCATTTTTTACTCAACTTTCTCAATACAAAATTAGCAGGTATGGTAGTCCATGCTTTCTCTTTGTTACTAAGTTTCTTGGTATATCAAGTTACAAACAGATTGTGGTGTAGCAATCTTCAATGATTATTTTTTATTCTCTTGGAAGATGATACGCAATGAATGATCTCTTTCTTCTCTTGTGGAATTCTATACACGTCCATTTGCTAGTTAATGTTTTGTATCACTGTGCATTAGGAAGAGAGTTGGAGGCATGAAATTAGAAGACTTACCGGGTCTTGATGCACTCAAGACTCCAGGTAACATTATCTCTAGCTCCTTTTTTTTTCGTTGTCTTTTATTTGTTATTTTATTATCCACCCACTGCATCCTAGTTGAATATATTTATGATATCTAAATAACGGATATTAGTTCGTATTTATTGTGTGTATGCGATACCCTCTAAATGATAAAATGATCAGGAAGTAGTGATGGGCAGACCAAGATAGTACGTGAAGGAGACAATGGTGTGGCGTACTCATGGAATATGAGAGAACAGAAGTGGGATAAGGTAATAGAGCATTCCATTTATTTAAAGTAAATAATTAATTTTATTTTCTTCCTTTTGTGAAAGAGCTGTTTGCAGTGGTGGTTATACCTTTGATGTTCCATTTTTTTTTTCTTGTTCGTATCTTCCATTTAGTTTCTATAAAGTCAGATCTTTTATTTCTCACTGATGCCATTCTTATTAGAAGTTTTTGTGTGTTTTATAAAGCGCATGGAAGTTCTAGTTATGCATAGCAATCGGCTTCTTTTTATTAATTTGGTTCAATTCCGTGGCCGTATCATTTTAAAATAGTCACTTTCTAATTTCCTTTTTGCATTTTAGATTGGTGAAGTTGTTGATGGTCCTGATGATAACATGAGCCGTCCTTTGCTTGATGGAATCCAATATGACTATGGTAAGCCTTTTTGGGCCTTACTACTCTTTCATGAATCTTATGTTCTCTCCTTTCTGGTAACGACTTACATTTTATCTCCCTTAGTGTTCGATGTCGACATTGGAGATGGTGAGCCTGTACGGAAATTGCCTTACAATCGTTCAGGTAATTTATCTGACAAGGCATTGTCCTTTTTAGGAATTATATGAGTTCTTCTAACTTTTAGCTTATCAAGTTAGTTGTGGAGCATGCTTGACTGTAAGATGAAGAACATGTTATGGAGTTTATAGCCACCCCCCTCGTTTGCCTCTGTGACATTTGTTTTGGTACAGTATTTGATCACTTTTCCTTTCTACTGTCGTTGTAAACAACCTACTTACAGAGAATCCCTATGATGTGGCTGACAAGTGGTTGCTCAATCAGAATTTACCACTTTCTTACCGGCAGCAAATAGTGGAATTTATTATGCAAAATACAGGCCAGAAGGATTTTACCCCGGATCCAATGTTTCGAGACCCCTACACTGGAGGTTTAGACCAAAACTTAATAAGGCCAATTCATAATTTTTAATGCGCCATTTAATCTAACTTCTCTTATTAATCTTAATGCTTCAGCCAGTGCTTATGTACCGGGAGCTCCTTCCGCATTGCCAGGTTTATTTGATAGTTGACCTTTGTGGCTTTGTGCACTTTCTCTGTCATTGTGACGTTATTTCTGCAATAGAGCAATTTTTGTTTGTGTTGATGCAGGTGTATCGAAGCCTTCTTACAAGCACATACCCAAAGTATACTTCTAATTGTTTCTTATTCATTATTGGGTTTAAATCACTGCTAAGTTGTACTCTATTATTATGTACTGACATGTTTATCCAGAGCATGCATTATCTTTTCTTGTCTATGTGATACGGAATAGTCTATTTTGGGTGATGATAAAGCATGACATGATGGTATAGGAGCATGCCTATTGGGTGAATAGAACAAATTTTTTTTATTTAACTGATCAGGCGAAACGAAACTAAAAAACAGTTCCGGCATTCAATGCGGGTCGAAGCATCTGTCGTTCTTGTGAAGGACTTGAATAACATTGAATGAATTCTCTTGAAAGGATTAAAGTATTTTTGGTTAAGTTAATAATGTGATCTTGGATATGAGGGCACAGTTGAAGACTTATGCTAACAATGCTAATATGATGTACATATTGTTTATTCTTCATTACTAGTGTAATTAAGAAACAAATATGTTCTCTCTCCAGAAAGGGATGCTTGTGTTCGATGTTGCCCAATTCGACGGAATCCTCAAAAAAATTTCTGAGTTCAGCAGTGTCCTGCTGTCTGATCCGGTAATCTGGTTGCATGATGGTTACCTGCGATTTTTATAATGCTATTTATTTGAGTAACCGTTCTTTCCTTGATATATATAAAACAACCTTGCAGGAGAAAGCACATCTATCAATGAATGAGGTTGATGTTTCGAGACTGAATGCCATCGTTAAGATTTTGAAAGACACATCACACTATCACAGCACTACTTTCTCAGATGTTGATGTTGCATTGCTGCTGAAGTTGCTAAATACATGGC